GCCTCGTGAATATGCCATCTTGGGCCTCAGAGCCTAGGCGCACCTTAACAACTATGTTGTGAACTTACAAGAGAATTCATCCAATAAAATATTCCAAGCATGCAAAGAACACTCTATAACTTTATATTCTTTTTTGGAAACATGGGTGTCTGGGTCAGCTTGCGTGCACCTCGACTAATCCCAAATGGCCCTCGGGAGACTCAAACTGGCAACATATGGGACTGGGAGGGGCTAGCCTTTATTTGCCAATTGAGCTGTCCCTCAAGGTTCTATAAAATATAATTGCTGCCGAGTGTGATGAATTTTATAAGAAAAAATTCAAACTAAAAGTCTATACAAACTGGGGCAAGAATAAAAACAAATAGCTTATTACTACTCTGTCAAGATTGTGTGAGTGGTGATATCATTGGTATGCAACAACATATTAACAAGTAAGTTGATATATACTACTAATCTACATCAAAACATAGATAGTTAAGACATGCCTGATCTCGGCCACCACTCAACAGAGTCCAACCATCTTCCGTTATTGCGATAGAAGTCACCGTTGAACGATGTCTCTCTAAAGTTGCAATGCATTTCTTGCTTGTAAGATCCCAAACTCGTACTGTTGCATCATCGCTTCCAGAAAATAGCTAAAAGTGCAAAGAATGAAAAGTTTAGTTTTTAAGCAATGAAAATAATGTGTTGCAGATCGTTCTAATTTATACATTTTGCTTTATAGTTTGTGTCWACCCCYTCTGCCAATATGCATTACAATTGGACAACTAGTTTGAATATGTTCCTTCCTTTGCTATGTGTATGGGTAGTTTACTTTGAATGGTATTCAGAATCACAAAAACTTATGCAAGCAATAACTTGGGCGAGAGGGTATAGAAAATTGAATAAGATTTAACTGATCACTATTTCAAAGTGTTAACCATGCATTCTTAGAACATCATGGTCTTCAAAGAATTCTCAGTCATTATATTGTTTGACATTGCAAACAAAAATGTGTCAATTTCCTGTCGACGAACTTTATCATAAGAAACAATGATCAATTCAAATAAACATACAAGTATAAGATAACTAATCCATCCATGGCACTTTATTCAGTATCTTTTAGTAGAAAACAAGAAAAAGAGTGTAACAATGATCCGATAACTACTAAATTATAGAAACTTACAAGCAGACGAGTGGGATCAGGATGAAAAATAACACTAGTCACAACCCCTTTATGACCCTTGAAGTAATGCGTGCAAAATCCACCATCAACATCCCATACCAACACTTTGCCATCAGCTCCAGCAGTTGCCAGCAATCCACCAGAAGCATGGCATGCCATGTACATTACTGGACCTGGGTGTCCCTGCACAACTCCAATCATAAAAAATACTAGAACAAGCAAGTGAAAAACTTTCTCCAAAATCGAGAAAATAGAAGAGAGAGGATAAAAATCTCCGTATTTGGAGAACTCTCCAAAATTAAATGCCGAAGAGAGAAATAATTTTTTTTATTGTTCCCACCAATGAAGTTGAATCTATTATCATTTCACATAAAATTTCTTCAAATATTTGTTGGGGTACTAAATCTACTGAATATTTTAATAATATAATTAATGTTGAAACCTCCAAAATGAAGAAACAAGTGGAGTTGAATTTAATTTTTTTGGGGGAGATTTTAACTTCTGCTTCTCCATTTTGAAGATATTATATATATATATATGTGTGTGTGTGTGTGTGTGTAGTAGATGCTCTTAGAGATCAGTCCTTCAAAAAAGTAAACTTACCTTCCATGATCGCAAGCATTTAAGAGAAGAGAGGTCCCAAACCCTAATTTGACGGCTGTGGCTGGCAGAGAAAAGGAATTTGTCATCAGGGCTAAGAGCAATTGCAGTAACTGGCTCGGAATCCCCTTCAATGGTGGACTTAATGGAAGCATTGGAAGAATCAACTATGGTTATGGTGTCATTGCATGCACAAGCAATGAACGATCCATCTGAAGAGACGGTATAGGGCCCGCCTGAGTAAAATTGTTGCAGAGACTGAACCCCTCGGTAGTTCTTTTTCAATGTGACTGAAGTCATTCTTTGCCACAAATATATATATATATATTTGCAGCTCAATTTCTGCTGCATGAGTTATACAGAAAGATGTAGGATTAGCTTAACAAGGATCCAAAACAATATGTATAAATATCCAAATTTGTTGGTTCACTCCACAGTATATCTAGCATGGTAATCACTAACCAGTAGCCCAAACCCGAAAAATTGAAATAGTTAAACCCAAATAAGAATAGCCATGAACAACGATTCTAACCAAATTATAATTGGTTCCTTGAACATCCAAAAAAACCTTCAACTGATGGTGAATGAGCCGAAAATAAAACCCATTACATCGTTCTTAACCAAATCAAAATCCTAAAAACTTCAAAGGATGAATTAGAATCGATAAACCCTAATCACAACCCATGAACTTAAACAAATTAGAATCAATTCTTTTAATTATATACAAAAACAATAATTACTTRAGCTAATTAATTTCATCGAACCTTAACAATACAGTCAATACTACCTCAACATATTAAAACCAATTAGTTTTTAAATTAATTCCCTTTAAACCCAATAACAAATCAACAAGCTCGTTGAAAACAAACGACGATGTGCTGATGGTTCAACTCGTCCGAATAAGAAATCAGTCAATAGGGCAATTTAAAGAGTTTTTTAACCAACCCGAATACAACGTACAAAACTCAAGCATTAACAACCAAAAATCAGATACAACGTACAAGTACTAAACCAACAATAGCAGAATAAGAACCTCTGCAAATGACGAGGAGGCTGAGAGCCGGCAGTGGTGAGCTGAGCAACGTAAGTCAAACTTGGATTTTGATTGGTCTGATTCCATTGAGCTGTGAGTTGAATAGAATTTTCTGCTGAACAATAAAATATAGAACCTTGAGGGTGATTCTACGAGAAAGCTGTCTCCGGCAGTGGTTACCAGAAGAACGGAGCCGGTAAGTTCTTGTTTCAGTTGCGGTGGTAAAGCGGTGGGGAATGATGTGAAGAGGAAAAACCATTGTACCATATAAACCCGGCCCATTTAACAATCGTATTCAGGTTTTTCTTCTTCAAATCATTCCCCGCCGCTTTAATGCCGCAACTGAAACAAAAGCTCACCGGCTCCGTTCAACTTCAGGTAACCACTACTGAGACAGCTTTAATGCAGAACCACCCTCAAGCTTCAATATCTTTTTGGTTCAGCACAAAATCCAATCCGACTCACCGCTGAATTGAATCAGACCAATCAAAATCCAAATTCGA